GCGTCTCATACCTTGAAGACAATCGCTGTTCTCAGCTTCCTTCCTGACAACATCGAGAACAGAATCAATCAATTCCGCTCCCTCGGTGTAATGACCTTTCGCCCAGTTATTCCCAGCACCGGACTGACCAAAGACGAAATTATCAGGACGGAAAATCTGCCCAAACGGTCCAGATCTGAGCGAATCCATGGTTCCAGGCTCCAGATCCATAAGAACAGCTCGAGGAACGTACTTTCCACCGCTCGCTTCGTTGAAATACACATCGATCCGTTCAAGCTGAAGAGGAGAATCGCCGACGTATTGACCGGTGTGATCAATGCCATGCTCGTCGCAGATCACTTCCCAAAACTTTGCTCCGATCTGGTTTCCACATTGACCACCTTGGATATGGAGGATTTCTCTCATTTTTTCTCCTTCGTTTTCGTTTCTCGGGAAAAAAAAAAATGAGGAAATGGGCGAGACTACTTTTTTTGTTTTGTCCTTAACCCTTAATAGGTTTTTAAAAGGAAAGGGATCTTTGAATGGGTAATAATCAGCTATATATAGTTTACGTCTTCCTCAATAAGTTTTTTCTTTTATTTTATTGCAAATATACCCTTGTACTTTCTTTTATCTTTCAATTATAGCTTATAAATTTCGTTTTCGTACTCTCTCTCTCTGCGCTGTATGACAGCGGAGGATTTCGAAATTAAATCTGTCCCACTTGTCTCCAGAGATATTTTTGGCTATATTTAAGTATTAAAAAACAAAATTATTTATAATAGAAAAATTAATAATTTTCCAGATCTCTACAACGTTATGCCAATTACAAGGGGGAAGAAAAAATATTTAGTTCAAAGGTACAAATTATTTTATAAAATAGCCGAACAGGTTTTTGTTCTTATCAATACAACAAACAATATGCAATTATGCATAAAATGATAAAATCAAAAACAAAGTTTGACGACTATTCATTGATATGGGCCGGACTCAAACAAAAGCTGGGCCCTTTAAAGGCCCATTAGTAATTTAGGGCTCAAAAACCTAAACATGTGCCTATAAAAGCAAACTTTATCGGCTACAAAAACCCTAATCCCAAATCATTTCACCACACTGACAAAACCCAAATCGGTTCCAATGGCGAAGGAGATTCCTCAAGCAAGCGACGAGAACGAATTGGAAATAGAAGTAGAAGAATCCGAGGAAGACAGATCCGACGATTCTTCGTCCGAGGAAGACGAATCCTCTGAATCTGATGCGGAATCTGAAACCGGGACTGTAATAAAGCATACTATTCAAGAAGTGACATCAAGGAAGCGCAGGTTTGAAGAAGCTAATGAAGGAGGAGGAGAAGGAGATTGGTTCGAAAAGTCTTTTCTTTTTGAAGGAATGGTAAGGTTTGGTGTGAGTGAAGATGAAGTGAAAAAAAGATGGAGAAGGCTTCCTATG